AAGTAAGATATAAATTGTTTATGCCAAATATTGCGATATGTATTTTTTCGCAAAGATTTAATTGTAAAATAATTTAATTAGAACTTATTTGGAACACGTACACATAATCTTATCTTAATTTTTTAACGTAAGATATAAATTGTTTATGCCAACTATTGCGACATGTATATTTTCAAGAATCAATTGTAAAATAATTTTATTATAAATAGGTAATTTTATAATAAAATTGTTTTTAATTTTTATAGAAGAAATTAAATGTTAAAGAAATAATAAGAGAGCTGGGGATATATTTAAAAAATTCTTATTAATTTAAATTTTTTTAAATTATTAAAAAATTTTTTTACAATTCTAAATATTATATATACAATATGCAGTTATAAATACATAGAAAACATAGATAAAAATTTTACATAAACATTTTTCATATATCTTATTGTTTCGGCGATAATGACTTACACACATAGTACGGATAAGCGTATATATGGAAGCATTTATAATTAATTTTCGAGAATGATATCTCGTAACATAACTTTATCATATATGGTTGAATTTGGAAAAAAATAAGCTTTAATTAGGTAAAAAAGTTTTTTATTTTGCAAAAAAAATTAAGTGGTGGGGGTTCTTAAAAAGAAATAAAAGTAAAAAATTTTTGTTCATATAACTTTAAAGTATTCTTCAAGCGATTAAATTTTCATTACATGTTTCTTTTCTATCGCTTATAGTTTAGCAGATATTCGATTCTAAAAAAATGCTGTTTTTCTTTAAAGGGGTGTTTCACCCTTTAAAACTCAATATTCGCACATATAAAAAAATACGTGTCTTTTAGATTTGTGTATTTAACAACATATTTAAAGGAGAATCAAATCGGTTCCGGGCAGTTGTGACATGTCCCTTGTTAGATGTTATAATGTCAACAACCTTGAGGCGAAGAGTGTGACTGTCAGATCTATAACTAGACGGCGTACAGGTGTAATAAGGTGAAAGTAAGGGGAAGCAAGTAAGAAAAAACCTCCAAGAAATGCCTGAAAAGTGAAAGTAATCCCAAACATTGCCTTAATCCATTCTGCGTTTCCACAAGCAATGGTACAATTATTCTGGGACATTCTGCATACATTTAAAAAATATTTAATTCTGTTTTCGTATGTGTATATATACAGGGTATCCCATTTTAATGTCCCACCCCAAATAATTCTTCACTATTGAAGTTTCAAGGAAAATGATCTGAATAAAAGTTGTAGGAATTTAAGTGAGCTACCTTATGATGACCTTGAGCTTGACCCTGACCTATATTTTCAAAGTTCTTTGAAGGTCAACTTGCGTTTTTTAAATGGGAACCCTTATTTTTTATTACACTGTTTTTTTCTACTAGTTAATTTGAACAACTTTTGTCTAAAATATTTTTTTATTTGTCTAATATTTTTTGAGATATTTGAGGAAAACTTGATAACTTTTTCAATATTTAACTTACGATATTTCACTAACTATTTGTCGGAAGAAAAGATAGTACTAGGCTTTCTTACTTTATTTAGTCTCAAGAATATATTGTAATTGTATTACAATTTGTACAATTGAGTTTTGTTGACTTACTGATTTTTGGAAAATTCAAAATCATTAAATTAATAAAAATCAGGGCGCTATTGTAACAATATATTCTTGAGACTAAATAAAGCAAAAAAATCTTGTACCACTTTTTCTTCCGACAAATAGTTAGCGAGATATTGTAAGTTAAATATTGAAAAAGTTATCAAGTTTTCCTCAAATATCTCAAAAAATATTAAGCAAGTAAAAAAATGTTTTAGACAAAAGTTGTTCAAATTAACTAGTAGAAAAAAAACAGGGTAATAAAAAATAAGGGTTTTTGTTTAAAAAACGCAAGTTGACCTTCAAATGACCTTGAAAATAGAAGTCAAGGTCAAAGTCAAGGTCATCATAAGGTAGCTCACTTAAATCCCTACAACTTTTATTCAGATCATTTTCCTTGAAACTTCAATACTGAAGAGTTATTAGGGTGGTCCGTTACTTTTGGGACATCCTGTATATAATATATGATATATGTATTTATATATAAGAAATGAACATCTGCATATATGTGACGTAAATTATATAGAAGAAGAGATGGTAGATATGAGATATATGATCGATATCTATATTGAAGAAGAATATCAAAAAGTATTAAGAAATTATATAGAAATAATATGCATATGTATATTGAAATTTATTCAATCTGACGTAAATATTATATATATTTATATGGCACATGTATACGTAAGTTTTGTATATACTTTTCGGAGCTATGTATTTCGGAGGAGTTAGCAATCTAGTAATAGTAATATACAGAGTGTATCATATAAAATGTTACAAGTTTTCTCTCTAACTATTAAAGCGAGGACATTCCTTTTACAGTTCTCATGGTTTATGAAAGTCTTTTAACTGAAATAAAATATCACCATCAATCTCTTAATAAAGGCTAAAAATTATATCTTTATTTTTTTTAATGAAACAGTATGCAAATTTCTCCATTTTTTTTAATAAATATAATAACATTTACCTAAAGCATTTTTTTCATATTTTGCAAAAACAATTAGGACGAGAAATATATTTTAATGTCTTGAAAACTGTTTCCTAAACTATGTCAAGTTTGTTTACAAACACTTCTTCAAAACATTTATTATCATATCTAATCTGACTGGCTTAGTTCGATAGAAAAATAATTTTAGTATGCAAAATAGATTTTTTAAAGGATGGCAAATTTGTAACGATAAATTTGTAAATGTGCTATTAATATTAGGCGAACCCTACAAAAATTATCATTAAGCAGTATTCAAATATTTATAGCAAGATATATAAAAAATATGACATTTATCATATGGCATTTTTGTGATTGGAACATCATCTTCATACTGATAGTTTAAATTCTAACAAACGATGCAAATCTGAAAGTGCAACAAACATCAATAATGCTACAAACGTATTGACTGCAGTAAATATAAATCCAGAAATCGGCATACGTTAGCAAGAGAAAATGGAAATAGTGATAGTTCAGTATATCACATACTACAACGTAAATATCATTTATATCATATTTTGCTATATTAGGATTTATCTGGAAATAATTTTCAATATCGAAAACTACATTTTTATACGTGGTTACAACAGTAACTTCATCAAAATCAATTTTTATTCGCAATACTATTTTCTGATGAAGCAATTCTTCAATATAGTTTAAGTTAATAAATATAATTACCGTTATTAGTCGGAAAAAAATTCTTGTTGACTACAAACGGTATCACTTCCATACCAATGGTTTATTTATTAAGCATTTTGTGTGGCATTGTTAGCAACTATATCATTAGACTGTATTTTTTCGGTCTTTAACTAATAAAATATATAGTGAATTTGTAAAAAATACATTAATTGAGATGTTAGAAAATTTCCCGCTCAGTATGAGAAAACACTATACTTTTAACAAAACAGAGCTACGCCACACTTTACAAGAAATACGTTAAATTTTGAATGTTTAATTTTGAATGACACATTTCGAAACAAATAAATAGGACAAAGTGTTCCTACTCCATATGCCACCACACTTACATTATACCGCTAGATTTTTTTTATTAAGATATATTTATTAAGATATTTATTAAGATATTTTTATTAAGATATATTTATAAGATATTAAAAATAAATATTTATTATATATTAAAGATAAAATCATGGTTACACCTCCAATAAAATAATATGAAAAACAGAATTCACAACTTATACTTTTGTAACCCCTTTTGATGTAATTGTAAATGCTAATTAATGTTTAAGAAAATATTAAAAGAATTACCGAATGTTTAGAAGTTAATGAACATTTTGAATATTTACTATAACACTTATTAAAAATAATTATTTACAAATATTACAAATATTTGTTGTAATATTTATTGGAAAATATTTCTTGTGTTAACATCCATGATCTATTTTTTTCGTCATAAAACTGTTCAACTACGTAAAATATGAAAAATAAGAAAAAAGCTTTAAGTAAATGTTATTATATTAAAAGAGATATATTTAAAAAGACAGAAGTTTACATACTATTAATAAAAATAAGGATATCACTTTTTAGATCTTTTTTAAGAAATTGGCGATAATATCTTGTCATTTCAAAGGCTCTCACAAACCATAAAAATTGCAAAAAGAATTTCCTCGCTATTTGTAATAGTTTGGAAAATAAGTTAGCAACTTGTAATACTTTATATAATATATTCTGTACACAAAAGTCTGTGTCTGTGATTCGAAAACTATTTGATAGATTGAATTTGATAGACTGAACATTTAAGTTGTGCATACAGTAAACCAAATATTAACATGTGAAATAAACACCCATTCGACTACCCTGTCTGCATCGAGCAAACTTTTCAAACATCTTACGTATACATGAAATGTTAATAAATTCACTAATCGTACAAAGTTATTCTTTATTATTAAGAACATTCAAATAAATATTTAGTGTAGAATCATATGACTGCGATCAATAGACTGTTCATACCGTCAAATTTTATATAATTTTACGCACTTTGCAAGAAATTAGCGCAAAAATTAAATTAAAAAATAACAAGGATAGTACTAATTCGTCAAATTATTAATTAACAATATTGATTTACACTGAACAAATGAACAGCGAGTGCAAACTTTCGCATAACTATACTGTGTACAAAAAATGTACACAGTAATAAATCCAAATAGAATGTTTCGATTCGTTCATAAAGCGATTTGTCATACTAAATTCATTCATTTTGTCCCAGAATAATATAATCATTTAAAAAATTCCAAGTTATTTTGTAAAATAAGTAACAATAATGGTAATCACAACAAATTATTTGTATTAGTTAATAGAAAAAAGCTGGTTTAATTTTTTTACGAATTGTTTTACTAATTTTGATTGTTATATGTACTTTATCATATTTTAAGTGCTAATTTGAAATGGTAAAAGGCAATAATAATTATATACGTACCAGACTAGAAGGATCACTGTTGGATAAAACATAATTAATAAATACAGCAAGATGTGCATGATGTCCCCACAGCCTGGATAAAGATTGGAACGGGCCGTGATCTTCTAACTGACCCTAAGATATTAATAATAGTTAAGTTGTAAATAATATATTCAGTTTTATTTACTAGTATTATATTTGTAAATAATATATTTAATACATAAAGTTTTTAAACAATAACTTACAATTTCTTGATCGCTAACGTCGTCTTCTTCCATTGACATAATTGGTTGTTGGAACGCTGGTAATCCAGGAATGGAGTCGCTACCAAGCGTCTGTTATTATGAAGAAAGCATATTTTATCATTACAAGTAGATATATCTATTATTCTATACACATGCATGCACATGTATAGATACATACATGTATAGATACATGTATAGATACATACAGAGTCTGCCAAAAATTCGGGAATGGTTAATTATTTCAAAAAATAATGATTGTTTAAAACAATGTTTCAAACAAAAGTTATAAGGCTTAAAAAAGCTATCAGATATTGATAATTATTTGACCTCGGAATGACCTTGAGAAACGTTATCAAGGTCGACATAAAAATCTAAAATGGAAATTTTTTATTACACCGTCTTTTTCCACCAACTAATTTGAACAACTTTTGTCTGAAACATTTTTTTATTTCCCTAATATTTTTTGAGATATTTAAGAATAACTTGGTAACTTTTTCAATATTTAATTTACAATATCTCGCTAACTGTTTGTCGGGATAAAAAAATGGTACTAGATTTTTTTATTCTACTTGATCTCAAAAATATATTAGTACAATAATGCTCTATTTTTTGTTAATTTATCGATCTTTCGAAATTTCAAAATCATCAAAGTAACGAAAGTCAGGACGCTATTGTAACAATACATTCTTGAAACGAAGTAGAAAAGAAAAGTCTAGTTTTTTTATTCCGACAAACAGTTAGCGAGATATCATAAGTTAAATATTGAAAAAGTTACCAAGTTATTCTTAAATATCTCAAAAAATATTAGGCAAATAAAAAAATGTTTCAGACAAAAGTTGTTCAAATTAATTGGTGGAAAAAGATGGTGTAATAAAATATTGTAGTTTCCATTTAAGATTTTTATGTCGACCTTGATAACGTTTCTGAAGGTCATTCCAAGGTCAAACAATTATTAATATCTGATAGCTTTTTTCTAAGCCCTATAATTTCCATCTCAAACATTGTTTTAAACAATCATTATGTTTTGAAATAATTAGCTGTTCCGGAACTTTTGGCAGACCCTGTATAGTGTCACACAATTATCCTATGGTATTTTACCAATGCATTCTGCAATTCATATAGCGTTAAAGATTTTAATGCGAAAATTTGATATAAATATGTCAAAGTTAAAATGTTTTGTTAAAAGATTGTAAGAAGTTAATATTTACTAATGTTATTGTATAAATTTCACGAGTTTGAACTTTTGGCTCAACTGAAATTGATGAGTTTTATTAATGGTAAATTTTTTTTATTTAGTACAATTAACCATTAAAATTTGCATTAAAATAAGAGATTAAATAATATGTCAATTATAATTAAAATTCATTATTAGTAATCAATTTCTTAATATGAGTTGTTCATTACAATATATGTAATACTTTAATAAAAGCAAGACAAAATCAGCTATGATATAAAAATTGATATCAACTGATGTACAAAAATTAATCTCAGGTGACAAATCGATATACAATGTGCATTTTTATATGTATTTACAGACCTAATCATGTAAAATCTATATGATATTATTAGCAAATATTTTGTATTATTAATATATTTTATATTTTTATGCTTTTACATAAGATATAAAACATACAATATAATTTATCATAGTTAATAGAACTGCGAAATATATGCCTCATAAAAAAATAAGTACAGTCTTCACCCGCTTAACAGCGGCTTCTGCTCGATTATTTTTATTAAATTAATTTCTTTTTTTAGTTTTTGGTATTCATTTTGTGAATAACATTCTTATTTTTTTTTTAATTACGTTCTCAGAAAAAATTAATGTCATCATCACCAAATAATAAAGATAACTAAAATATGAAAAATACAAGAACAGCAGTTATTAATATTATAAGTTTGAAGAGGTAGATACGATGATAAGTATTATCAACAAACGGAATGAAGATACGTGTAATCGCGTAACATGATATTTAAAAATATAATATTCATATATGCGTAAAGTTCTATTATATTTCTACATCATGGTATTTTTAATATCGTAGAAAACATGAAATGTATATGTGTGCGTGTGCACGCATGTGTGCGTGTGTAAAGCAGGATTCCAAAATTTACATTTTACACGTTTCATCCTTAAGTTACATCAGGATTCATCCATGCCTTCCATCTTGAAAAATTTTACAGAAATAAAAAGTTAATAAAAATATTTTAATGAATACTGAATTTTTATTATTTTTTAAAACTAAACTTGCTTTAACGATTTAAAATATTGTTCACAAATACAATTGTAGTAGTTTACAATTTATGTACATGTCTTTAACTACCTGCTAAGTTAATATATTAGTTAATTGGTTTAGTTTATATTGGTTCATGAACATATCAATTTTTTTTTATAGAACTGAATTACTTGTTTAATAGTTTTTTTTGTTTACTTAATATCATTGTTTCCGAGAACTAATTACTAACGTTAAGCGGGGAAAAACTGTACAAAATACAAAATATAAAATTCAATAAAAAATTAAAAAATTAAGACATTAATATTTGTTACATGTTAATTATATATGTAATATTATTAAATTATAAATATATTTTAAATTATATATAAATATATATATATAATATATATAAATATATATATATAAATATATAATATATATATATAAATATATATATAAATAAATATATATATAAATATATATATATATAAATTAAATTATAAATATTATTAAATAAAAATGAAAGTTTTGAAATTTAATAAAAAATTAACTTTATAATATAAAAATAAAACTACAGACACATTAAATATAAAATATATATAGTTAGTTAAAACTGTAGATAAGTTAAAACTGATAAAATATATACATCATTTAGCGTGGATGAGTAGATATCCTGTCCCAAAGTAGAAACCGGATATGGTGGCGGCGGAGTACCCGGTGGTGTAATATGCGACAATTCCTTTATATCGATATCACTGTATCCGACGTGTTTCGGAGGTGACAGATCGTTCATTGATTCAGAAGCAATTAAACGTTTGCTAGCTTCCGACGGCGACATCGTTGCGATTCCTAACTGTTCCGGACTTGACTTTGTTCGTTGATGTTTGGCAAGCGCATTCGAGGCACTTAAATTGACATCCTGAGAAAACTGAAAAGTAATTTACTGTTATTGTCAACTTTTTATTGTATAACGTTTAAGTATCATCATATTCCTTAAGAGCGCAAATTATTCTTCAAATCAAAAAAGCAATAATATTCAGAAATTTATTTAAAAATTATTACTGAACAAATATGTTTGGATTTAATATATGTAATTATATAGTATTTACATTTTACAAAAAAATTATTTTAATGTTTATGACGAAATAACATTACAGCATCCATCCATTGCTGTTTTGAGTCAGCTTTTGCACGCTTCCTTAGTTTATATGACTTATATTTATTTGATCTGTTTAGGAAGTTCGTTCAGATTTTTGCAGCGATTAAAACTCAAAAATTAATTATTAAAATGCAACTTTAATTAATAATGTATACACTACTTCCTTGAATAATGTCGAACCATCTCTTAGGTAGCTTCATTATTCTGTCAGCTTAGAATTGGATCGGCTTTTCATTAACCTTTTGAAACATACATTTTCCCCCATGCACAATTTTCACCGGACTCCCCTATAAAGGGCTTTTCAATCCGCTGAATACGAATCTGAGGTCGGAGAAATTAAAATTTTTCAAAATTCAAGATGATGGATCGAAATGCTCAAAATTAGATCTATATCAAATTATGTACCCGAAAATTTTTGGGCTCACTGAATCTAAAGTCGAAATATAGATATTCAAGATGGCGGACCCAATATGGCGGGTCAAATTGTGAAAATTAGACCGATTCGCATCAAATTATGTGTCAGAGGATTTCTGGGGCCACTGATTACGAATGTGAAGTCGAAATTGAGAAACTCAGGATCACATCAAATTATGTAGCCGGAAATTTTTGGAATCGCTGATTTTGTAACTTAGTTCAAAACAACGAAACTCAGAATCGCGAATTGAAAAGTTAAGAGCCGAATCGGCCGATTTTTGAGACATGAATAGGGATGAGATTTCTTTGTCACTAAGGTGATTATACGCTCATTTATATTTGCCCTATTCACATTTATTGCCACAAGTTATGAAGACGATGTAACAAGAGCATGACCCCATATAATTTTGAATGCTTTATCAACTAATTTTACTATATGAATAATATACAGTTAAATACTAGCGCGACCAACGAGAGTCAAATATTCGACCCCGAAAAACCCCGGGTACACAATTTGATGCGAATCGGTCTAATTTTCACGGTTTCGATCCGCCATATTGTGTCCACCATCTCGAATTTTGAAAAATTTACAATTCTGACCTCCTACTCGTAATCAGCGGTCTCAAAAATCCCCGAGAAATAAATTTGAGGACATATTATCAGGGTGAAATCCTTAATTACGATAGATTTTATGCAATCTATATTTTTCCAAGATTGGAACCACTATATTAATATAAGTTTTTAGAATTTTGAAATTTTGACTTCATTTTCGAAATCAGCGATGTCCAAACTCTTAGGATACATTTCTATTAGAAAAATAAGAAGTGAAGAGATATTTTTTATTCAGTTTGACGAGGTGTGACTTATATGCCACACTGTGCTTCAAAGGGTTAAAGTTACCCAAATGAATTTTGACGGTTTTCAAAGATTATAAAAGGTTTTATACCATTCATATTATTTTAAAATAAACACAACAGGTAATAGTCTGAAAGTGCAATGTCAGAAAAATATGATGGGTGAGTTAAAACGTCTCAATCAATGTCCAATTATTTTTGACACTAATTTTAAACATTTCTTATCGATCACTACACTTAGCTAACCTAATTGCAAATAGTATTTATCAGAATTGATTCGACTAAAATAGTTTGGATTTTTGATAAAAGCTCATAATATATTTTTTGTACTGTATTGTCTTTTAATTCTACTAAACACAAAACATGACTCTTTTCTAAATAAAAACTCTTTTTAAGTTAAACTAGTTTCGGTTTACGTTAATAGAGGCTGTTTTCTCATATCCCAGGATCTTTTTGTCACAATATTGTAAGTGAGCTATTTTTTATCACTTATTATTAAATGACATTTTCCAAAAATAATTCGTTTTTATTACATTTATAGAGCAAATCGCAAATAGAGACACGATTCTTCTCATTAAATTCATGAAAAATTGGAATATTTGAACTGCAAATATCAAATTGCTCATAATTGTTTATTCTATTATGTGCTAAAATTTAAGAGAATAAGGAAGACTTGGATATTTGCATGCTAAATATACAATACGTTCTTTTCGAAGTTCTTCATAGTAAGAGACGATTAATATATATGCAGAATATATAATCATAAAACATTTCAATTTATAACAACAGCAATGGGAGCTGAGCGGTAACGCGACTCGCGCTGACCGTCGCGCGGCATCAAAGCGCCAAGATGCCATCGCGACAGTTAGCGCGAGACGTGTTATCGTTTAGCCCCTACGCACACAGCTTGCCGCGGAGCGTCTATAGGCCGCGCTGGAAAACGCCTAATTTTGCACTGTTATAATTAAAAAACTATTACGATTTTCACATTATGGTACAAGACTTTTTTGTTCCTCTCACTTAGCTCTATGTCCCTACGGAGCCCGCGTGCCAAAGTTCTGAGACACCTTGTATATAGTGGGTGAATTTAAATAAAATCTTGCATTACAAAATCTATTCATTTACATTCCTTTTTCACTCTTTCTTTTATATAGTTATTTTTCATCCAAAATTATTTACCATAATCTTGAAAAGTTATTTATTTTCATTTTGATATTTCTCTTCTGTACGTTTGCGAAGGCTTATGTGCAACTTCGACAATTGTCTTTAAATATTTTAATATATTCAATTTAATATATTTCTGGGAGATGATAAATTTCTCGACTAACCCTTTAAGCAGATTCTCTATCATTACGATTCTCATTTATTTTATGTACTTTATTAATATAACTTTTTATCATGCAACATTTCCAGCCCAGACTAGTAGTTAAAACACAAAGTCGTATAACAGCCACCAGAATACATTTTTTATATTTATTACACTATAGTATTAGAGAAAGCAATTGTACAATAAAAATGTGACAAGTTTCAATAACGTATATATTAGGTACTTAATTAAGTTTCCGCCGTTTACTGATAGATGATGTTAGCAGTACTGTGTGCATGTACTTTAAGATCCCCTGCCTGCCAGAGTTGGCGGGCAGAAGGGGATGTGGAATGTCTTTCCATCTGGTGCAGGTGCTGACGGGGCACGGATGCTTCGGTAAGTACCTGCACCAGATAGGCAAGGAGCCCACCACCCGGTGCCACCACTGCCCCATGCTGATGGACACGGCGCTCCATACTCTGGCTGCATGCCCAGCATGGAGCTAGGAACGCCGTGTCCTGGCCGGGGCGGTGGGGTGTCGTGCGGGGGAACTTTCACTCCCACGCATGGTGAATGCCATGTGCGGGAGCGAAGAGGTATGGTCAGCGGCAGTCTCCTTCTGTAAGGACGTGATGTCCAGGAAGGAGGCCGCCGAGTGGGAGCACCGACCGGAAAGGCGTCGCAGAAGGCGACGCCAGGGTCGACGCTCCCCGAGAGGGGGAATCGGTAGCGGACCGGAGGTAGCGTCGGCCGAGGAGGGACCACCGATTCGTAGGGATCGGGGACCTCCTCGGCCGCCTCGAGCCCGCCTCCGTCAGCAGGGGGAGGGGAGTAGTGGGCATAGAACTTCTACACTCTCCCCCTAAACTGCATGGACAGATAGGGTAAGGGGGAGTGGCACCCCGGTCGGGGCTGGGCCCACTCCCCCAAAAATCCTCCCTCTCGACAAACGAGGGGAGGGATACGGAGGGAGGGCGGATGCCCCCTTTCTCCTTAGGTGACACCAGAAGGCCAACCGGCCAGGAAACTGGCCGGGGACCGTACCCCTACTAATTTTTCCTGGTAGGGGGAAAAAGGGGTGCGGTACACGAGGCGGGGGGCTCCAGGAGAGCCCTGGGGCCGGGGAGTTGGGGAGGGAATGCGGGAGCAGTTCCCCTAACTCCCCACGCAACTGTCTGACAGGTAGGCATCTCGCAGGGGTTTTAGCCGGTAAGAGTCCGGTATAACCCCCGACCCTCCCGAAGGGTCGGGGGTATCCATGATGGATTTCCCCTGCGCGAACAAAAAAAATGTACTTTAAGATGGTAATACATCCATATAAAAGTAATAAATCATGGTGTAATTTCAGTATTGCCATTTGATTACAGTGTAAACAACGAATTTTTCTATTGCATTGAAAATGTAGAATTTTGTACCGACAAAACAGCATTTGCGGGTGGTCTTACTCCATTATTTAATTTTAAAGAAAAGCTGAAAGTTATCGTTCACTCGTAGAACATTATGGTGACAATGCTCTATCCAATGCTCTATCTAGAAGTTGTAGAGAATGGTTTCAACGGTCTAAAGATGGCGACTACGACGTGAAAGACAAAGAACGCTCTGGTGCACGAAAAAAGTTTGAAGGCGAAGAGTTGGAAACATTACTGAACAAAGATCCACATCAAACGGTTAAGGAATTCTCAGAATCATTAAATGAATCGACTATAAGCAAACGCTTAAAAGCAATAGGATTTATTCATAAACAAGACTACTGGGTGCTATATGTTTTGAAAGACAGAGACGTTGAAAAACGTTTAACCATGTGTAAATTATTGCTTCAAAGACAGAAAAGAAAGTCATTTTGCATTGAATCGTTATTGGCGATGAAAAATGGATTCATTGCGATAATCTAAAAAGAAGAAAATCATGGGTAAAGCCTGATCAGCCATCAAAATCAAAACGGCAAAACGGAATATTCATGGAAGAAAGGTCATGCTGAATATTTGATGGGATCAAAAAGGTGTGATATACTACGAGCTGTTGAAACCGAATGAAACCATCACTGCTGATCGCTATCGAGAACAAATAGTCAATTTGAGTCGATCATTGAAAGAAAAACGTCGAGAATATGCCAGAAGGCATGACAAAGTCATTTTTCAACATAACAATGCTCGACCGCATGTAGCAAGACCGGTTAAGGAAACATTAGAACTGTT